CCACACACAACCTCACCCCCCAACACACTCGCAACCACTCCAACCACCAACGTCTCCCAAAATCAGAAGTAGTAACGACAGCAGCCACAGCAGCCACACCACGAACATACCGATGTCTTTAAAACTTGAGAAAGAGCTTCTATCGCTAGAGAGCAACAACAAACAAACATTAGTTGATCAGTTGGACAATCTGCATTGATTGCAAAGTAAAAATTATAAACGAAAACAACATCAAAAACAACATCCAAATTGACAACATCCAAAACAACAACATCTGCAATAAAATATGGACAACAACAACCACCACAACAAAAATAACAACAACATCAACAACAACAACAACAACAACATCTATAATAAAACATAAACATCAACAACAACAACAACAGCAAAGAATCTGAAAAAAAGATCATAAATAATGCAGCGGAACGAGACAAAGATGAATTTCTCAATAAATTACATCACTAAATGAATAAAAAAAATAAATTCAAGGAGGATTACAAGATTTATTTTAAAGGATGAATTGGAGTAAAAATGGCGGGAAAGAAAACCCCATTTTCTGATGAATAACCACGAAAAATTAGAAAAATAATTTTGAAAAACTAAACATTGATGAAACATTGATTGGTTGGTTGGCGCAATAACAACAAACAAAAAACGTGCACACACCACACACGCACGTCATCATCATCATCATCATCATCATCATCATCATTGTTTATAACATCATCATCGTCTTCATTGCGTCATCATTATATATATATATATATATATATATATATATATATATATATATATATATATGTATGTATATATATATATATGTTGTACTCGAAAAAATTATACACTTTTAATTGTACGATGTTTATTGTTAAATTATACATAATAACATAAGTATGTAGATCAAAATAAAAAAATATAACGCATGATGTGTATTTAATTTGTGGCTGGCGATGAAAAATACACTCGAACGTTATTATGACGTCATAATTAGTGAATAATTCTATCCGGCTCATTCCATTTTTTCTGGCAAATAACCTAATAGTTAATCCTACAGCCGGTTACCTATTTTTGGCAGGCCCGGAGTTTAACATGCATCCGTGTGACTATTGCGCTTACGTAAATACAGCAACATTATTTGTTTGTTTATTTATTGATAATATTATCTTGTATCATAGAGTATCATACTTCAGAATATTATCTCGTATCATATAGTATCATACTTCAGAATATTATCTCGTATCATATAGTATCATACTTCAGGATATTATCTTGTATCATATTGTATCATGATGTTATCTTGTATCATATAGTATCATACTTCATGACATTATCTTGTATCATATAGTATCATACATACGTGTAAATATTGTGTTGTATTGTGCTGATTAGTTTCACTAATAAAATTTAAGCATTTTTCGAAGATTATTTTTTAATTTTTTCATATAGTTAATATTAAAATAAATTTTCAATAATAATTATAGCTATATTTAATTTTAACGGTTATCAAGAACAGACCAATCAAACTGGTTTATATATTAGACAAACAAAAATATAAGAACAAAAAAGTGGCCGGTGGTTGCGACTGAGCTGAGTTAACCGCGTGTAAGAGAACATGAGACCAGGTAGAGCAGGGCGCGGAGTTGAAAAGAAGAGAAAAATAGAATAATATGGACAGACTGGAGGACACGGGACTCATCAGCAGCTCGAATACCTATCAGTATCACATCGCAGTTTCTTCTTATATAGCTCTCACGAATTATTTTATTAGTTTATGATGTTTTTCATGTATGTTGAGGATCGTTCGTTTTGATCGTTAGGATTTGTGATCCGACAGGATCTAGGAGGGAGGGGTCGGGAAAGGCCATGGCCCCCCGTCGTGAGCAGTGTTTTTATTAAATGTATAAGTAAAATTTATGTTTCAGTAAAAAAATTTACCAAAAATTAAAGTAACAGGCAAAAAGTCAACCGAACAGTTATCATTATTATTATATACTATGGTTCGATTATTTGTTGAGTGTGGCGCTGATATAATGAATTAAGCTGGTAGTTTTCCTAGATTCATGCGGTACTCAAACTCCTGAGCAAGAAAATGTTTGATTTAGTAATCGAAATTTTGACGTTTTTGATACGTAGTACCTTGAATCGGTCGAATAGTTATTAATATCATTATATAATACAGAACATGCACCACGGTTCGACATCTCAGGTGCCCAGAAAAAACCTTGACTACGAAAAAACAGAGTGGCAGATCCAAAGGCACCCACACACTTGTACGCAATCTATGGACGGTCATTCTGGGCCAGAATTGGCTTCATCAGCCACCTACGTGCTGGCAGTCGCCTGTCCAGTGGCTAGGTTGTAGCACATCACATCACATGGGTTCGTGTGTGTGTGTGTATGTGTGTGTTTGTATGTGTGTGTTTGTATGTGTGTGTTTGTGTGTGTATGTGTGTGTGTGTGTGTGTGTGTGTGTGTGTGTGTGTGTGTATAGTGTATCTCTATATACATCTGTTAATGTATACGACGTGGTATCTCTGTATTGTGTATGTGTGTGTGTATGTGAATGTGCTTATACAATGTAATATATACTCTGATATATTTTGATATATGTGATATATTTTGATCACTTTCGTCATCATCACTTCAGTACGTGTGATGTTTAATAAGACTTAAAAGGTGTAGTTAAGATATCATTAAATGAATATTTTGAATATTTAGACAGACCACAAATAATAACTTTAAAATAATAAATGTAACTGTAATGTTGACATAAAATAAAAATCTACTAAATTCAATCTTCTTAAGTTCAATAGAAATTACAAACAATAACAGATACCATGTAACAGAATACATGATAAAGCGCTACAAAATGTTTCCTAATGTTTATGTTGAGCAGAATTAATTTTTAAACTGTTTAAAATGACTTTATTATTTGGATTAATTTCTTTTATTTTCGTAACTTTTTTTCTTTCAAAGTTAGTGACATTTTTACTAAATTAAAACATTGGCTTTCATAAATGTCAAAGCATTTTTTCAGGCTTTCGCATTCATTGACATTTTTATTATTTTTATTTTAAAACCAAATTAATTAATTAAAAAATAAAAGAATAATAATTGATTGAATGGATGATTAAATAATTAGAAATAATTTTAATATTTATTATCAATTACTTTTTTCAAAGAAACAATTGCCAAATTGTGTTATTCTGTTATTTTTTATTTTATTTGTTTAATTTTAAACTTTAATTTTAATTTAATTATGTATGTATGAATGTATGTACGTATATAATATTATATTATAATATATATAATACACATATTATATGTACGTATATATGTATGGTGATACAATTGATATTTATACATTAAAGTTAAAACATTTTATTATAAAATACAAATAATATTATAAACAATTTCAGATGTATTTTCTACATACTGAGGTATTATCTGAAAAAATACCAAGGCATTACTCTCACTGTGGAGTCGAGCAAAGTTATTTGGTTCAAGAATCTGACGTGTTCCTACGACTCAAGATTTTATTTTGTTAGCCTTCATTTTTTTTATTTCATTTCATTTATTTAAAAGTTTTTAGAAATTGTGAGTATTTTAATTAAATTTATAATGAGCTAAAATATCTTTTTTTAATTATTATAATGATTCATAATTATATGTAATTATGAACTATCCCTAAATAATGAGGATCATAACGACGACGATGATGATATAATGGTGATGTTGTTGATGATGATACAATGTGGAGGACAATGATGATATGATGATGAAGATGAGGATGAGGATGATGATGATGATGGTGGTGGAAATGATCAAGATAATGATGATGATGATGATGGTGAAGAAAATTGATGGTGATAGTGAAATTTAATTGAGCTTTTGCTGGCATTACATTTTTTCATCCTAATAACAGGAAAGTTCTTTGAATTATAAAAAATTTTTGTTTTTTTTTTGGTTTGTGTGTGTGTGTGTTTGTGTAGTGTGTGTGTGTGCACGCGTGTGTTTGTGTGCGTGTGGTGTTCCATGTTTTGTCATCCCATAATTAATTAATCTATTTATTTATTCATTTATTCACGTAAATTAAAATTTCGTATTTCGTCATTCATTACTTCAGTCATTAGGTAGTCTGTGGATTAGCAGTTCCTACGTCAACTATTTATACAGGTTTAATTAATCAACTAATTAACTAATTAATTAATTAATCAACCAACTAACTGATTGACTAATTAGTTAGTTAGTCTGTTATAATTATATATATAATGTTATTATTATTATTTATTATTGTAATTTTTGTTGTTATTATTAATGTTACTGTTGTTACCAAACAGGAAGCCAATAACCATTTGCCTGCACAATCTGATATACCACAACAACAACAACAACAACAACAACAATAATAATAATCATATAAAAGATAATGGTAATGATTATGGTAATCAGAGAAAGATAGATATCATAGATAATGATAAAGGTACTGATGATGGTAGCCGTAGTGGCAGTCATGATGATGATCGTGGTGGTAGTGGTGGTGGTGGTAGGTATGATGATGATCCTGGTGCCTCAGCCAAAAAGTTGAAATCTGGAAAAAAATTAACCATCATTGTCAGCGTTCTAAAAGTTATTTCTAAGGTTTGGTTTGTGCGTGTGTGCGAATGTGTGTGTGTGTCCATGCGTGTGTGTGTTCATGCGTTTGTGTGTGTGTGTATGTGCGCGCGCGTGTGTGTGTGCGCACGTGTGTTTGACTGTCTGTGAATGAATTGAATTGATAGTATAAAATGTTGCCGAATAAAAATAAAATAAAAATAAAAATGTATATATTTGTAGGTTTGTGGCTTGTATATTAGCAACCTAGAATTATCCAACAACAACCACAACAACAACAACAATAATAATAATAAAAACAACAATAATAATAATAATAATAGTGGTGACAAAAACAACACCATGGACGACAGTCATCGCAATGTCAATAGCGTTACTACTACTACTGCTGCTGCTACTACTTTTGCCACTATTACTACTACTGCTACTACCACTAATACTACTATTACTACTAATAATAATAATAATAACAATTTAAACACAGTTATAAGGAGAAAATTACTATGTAGTGACAGAGTTAATGGTAATGACGGTAAAAACATCAGTAATAATAATAATAATAATAATAATAATAATAATAATAATAATAATAATAATAATAATGATAATAATAATAATAATAATAGTAGTGGTAATAGTAGTAGTAGTAGTAGTAGTAGTAGTAGTAGTAGTAGTAGTAGTAGCAGTAGTAGTAGTAGTAGTAGTAGTAGTAGTAGTGGTAGTAGTTGTGTTTTTAAGATGAAGCATTTTCAACTGTCTGTTGAACCATGTAGATATGAGAGGTATGGGAGCTGTCTTAATATTTCAGTCTTAATGTTTGTGTTTTCAATTTTTTTTTATTATTGTTATTCGTCGACGTCGTCATCTTCTTCCAAGTTTGTCGTCGTCACCATCATCATTATCATCATCAGTTCATTCGTTGTAATTATCATCATCATTATCATCATCATCATCAGTTCATTCGTTCTTATCGTCATCACCATTTTATCATCATCATCATCGAAATCATTATCAACATTATCACCGCATTTTCCATGATTGTTGGTTCCTTTATTAATACGATCATTATCATCATCATCATCATCATCATCATCATCACTGACATCATCATCATTTTTACTATCTGAATTATTTTAATAATTATCTTTCTCACCATCATCATCACCATCATCACCACCACCATCATCGATCGCGATCAACATTATCACCACCACCATCACCACTGCCACCATCATCATCACCACCACCATCATCACCACCACAACCATCATCATCATCAGTTCCTTCAGTTTAGTGCTACTCTCCATGAGGGGACTGTCGTTTAGATGTCTTCCCTGTCTTGTTTCACTGGAGAAGAATGATGATGATGATGATAATGGTGATGGTAGTGGTGTAAAAGTTAGTTATGATGCTGATGATGATGATGATAATTGTTGTGGTAATAATTATAAATATTGCGATTATAATGATAATTAAATGGTGTTTTCAGAACCAAACAAGTAAGGCCACCTTATCACCACCAAACATATCATCATCATTATCATCACTTCAATCATCATTATCATCACTTCAATCATCATTATCATCACTTCAATCATCATCATCATTTCAATCATCGTTATCACCACTTTGATAATCATCATCGCTTCAATCATCATCATCAATTTCGTCATCATCACCACTTTTGTCATCATCATCATCATCACTTCAATCATCATCGTCATCACCACTTTCATCGTCATCATCATCATCACTTCAATCATCATCGTCATCACCACTTTCATCGTCATCATCATCATCACTTCAGTCATCATCGTCATCACCACTTTCATCGTCATCATCATCATCACTTCAGTCATCATCGTCATCACCACTTTCATCGTCATCATCATCATCACTTCAGTCATCATCGTCATCACCACTTTCATCGTCATCATCATCATCACTTCAGTCATCATCATCATCATCGACGGCCACGCTGGAAGTGGTGACGGATGTTGAAGTTGATTTGTTGTGTTTCACTGGACAGCAGACTGACCTGTCCACCATTGTCGTTGTCAAGGTCTGTCTGTCTGTTTGTGATGATGATGATTATGATGATGATGATGAGTGTGCTGATTGCAATAGTAAAGATGTTGGTGACTGACAATTTAATGGCAGCCAAATGCTTATTATTACTATCCATTTTTTTTAATAAAATAATAAATAATAAATAATTTTCATGAGTACAATCTATATTCAGCTATAAAACAATGAGAATGACCATAAAATGATACAAATGGACAAGTAGAATAAAATAAGAGCGAAAGTAAAATAAAATATCAAATCAAGTAGAGTATTATTCTAGTCTACGAAGCCCTCCATTCGAAGAGGACGGGTACAACTAGAGTTAATTACTTTCAAAATTGATTCGGGTCGCATTTCTATCGCAGTTTAAATGGCGTAGGACGACGATGTTGCAGATGTAATGAGGCCATTGCAGGGTGGGCCGGACAAAAGAATGTCTACATGAGATACTATTAAATATTTTAAATCAACCTAGAGTTGAGGTTTCGAATGTGTTTATTTTTAAATGTTTTAAGTCGTCAATCAAGTTATTTTGCAAGCTACCAGAGTTTATATTTTTTAGAATTTAGAAAGTTAGTCTCGTGACAGACTGTTAATAGCAGTTTTTCAATTGTTTCGTCTCGTAGCAATGCGTTATCTCTCTGGTCGCAGTGTGTTGAATAGTGCGAAATAGTGGTTCAAATTTATGTCTCTAGATCTGAAAAAAGAAGACTTCTGGGTTGGCGCATAATTTCATTTTTTCGAGATTTATTGTTAGAATTTTGTTGTGTCTTTTGTGAACCTCTTTAATTTAGTTTGTTGATTGCTGCATAATGGACACTGGGCAGTGGAAGACTTTTCCCATCTGGACAGATTTGCATTTTTCGGCAGGTGCTATATCAAACTTTTTCTGACAAATCTGAACAGAACCTCTAGAAAACTGGCCAAGTATCGCCACCAGTGAGCAATCCAAGCCGCAGAAATGGGATTACTAATTGCCTTAATTATTTTACCCTGAAAACGGAGTGAAGCCAGTCGTTCAAGTTCTGCACTTTGCTGTCGGTTTGATGTTGCTCGAATCTGGGGGCCGGTTGTCAATTTTGATGTAGTTGTTGAACGATTCGGTCCACAAACACTTCAGGTCGTCACTGCCATTTGCTTTCAGATAATTGCGAAGTTTGATCCGCAAAGATTTGGTATCGCGTTTGAGAGACCTAATGTTCAAACCTCCTCCCAGTTTGAACGGGAGCGACAAACACTTCCACACTCAGCTGCCGATTGGCCATGATAGCCACGATCGATCTCACCGCTTCAACAATGAGGGGGTCAAGGCAGTCGTACGTTCGCAACTCAAATACAAATTGTGACGTAGAATTTGTAGTTTCCAGTTTGCCGTCGGGTTCATTAAATATGAGGTGCTTAATTGGATGCAGTTATAGAGAGTAATTATAAAGAGAAATTATAGAGAATAATTATGGAGAATAATTATAGAGAATAACTATAGATAATAATTGTAGAAAATAACTATAGAGAATAATTATAGAGAATAATTATTGAGTAAAATAAACGTAATTGTTGCTGGTAAGTGCATATATTGATATAATATGTTTGAGAGTTTAGTCATTTGCGAAATATATACCTCATAAATCACGTCGAAATTTGTATTGGTTGTTGTTTATTTTAAAACTTTTTTTTCCTGAATGACCCCATGTGGTCGTCCCTTACCCCCTCTCTTCCACTCTCAAATCGGCCCTGATAATAATTATTATTATTATTGTCTTTGTTGTTGTTTTATTATTATTATTATTATCTTATGGTTACTCATTTTATATCATCAACACATCACAGAATATTGAGGCCCAGTTGAAGACATTGCAAGTCACATTCAGTCAAGGTTCTCTCTTCTCTCTCTCTCTCTCTCTCTCTCTCTCTCTCTCTCTCTCTCTCTCTCTCTCTCTAGATATAGATATATATATATATATGTTTGTGCGTGTGTGTGTGTGTGTGTTTATACGCTTGTGTTTTTGCGTTTGTTTTTGCGTGTGTATTTGTGTGTGTGTATGCGTGTGTGTTTGTTTCCGCGTGTGTGTGTGTTTGCGTGAGTATTTGTTTGTTTGTGTGCGTGTGTGTGTGCGTGCGTGGGTGTTTTAATAATGGTATTCTTTTTATCTAATCCAGAATTCATCCGGACTTCACTGTTGAGGCATGGAGTTAACTCTCACAGTGATAACGATATTCATAACAAAAACAATAATCAAAATAATAATAATAATAATCAATATAATTATAATAATAATAATCAAAATAATTATAATAATAATAATATTAACAAGCCAAAAAGTAAATCTTTGATGAGGCTACTGAATTACATTCCACAGGTTAATTATTGCTTTAATATTTATTATTATTATTTATTATTATTATTTATTATTATTATTAGTATTGTTATTGTTGTTGTTTTATTATTATTGTTGATGCGATCATTTTCTAAAAATCTCACAGAATATTAAAGTGCAAGTTAGCTCCTTGCATCTCCGAATGCTTTCTCAGGCCAGGTTGTTGTTGTTGTTGTTGATGTTGTTGTTGCAGGTTGTTGATTATTGTTGTTGCTGTTGTTGTTGTTGTTGACATTGTTGATTGTTGTTCTTGATGTTGATGTTGCAGGCTGTTGATTGCTGTTGTTGATGTTTTTGTTGCTGATATTATTGTCTTGTTGTTGTTGTTGATGTTGTTGTTGTTATTGATGTCGTTAATGTTTTTTTGCAGTTGTAATCGATTTTCATGTTGTTACTGTTGCTTTTGCTATTGTGTATAGTTGTAGATGCCGTTGTTGATGCTTTTGTTGTTGTTGTTGTGTTGTTGTCGTTGTCGTTGTGACCATGTGTTTATTGTTGTCATTTTTTTTATTACGGTGACGTCATTTCTACAACATTACACACTGTGACGTCGCTCTGAAACAACCAACGGAACAGGAAATACGAAATGAAGACCGGGCTGTCCTTCTTCACGATGGAGCACGCATCATCATCATCGTCATCATCACCGACACCATCATCATCATCATCATCTGCAACATTGTTGACGTCATCATTGGCTTCATCAACGTCACCACCATCATCGTTATCTTCACCATCACTACCACCACCATCACCACCATCCGTATGTGCGTCGTTCCTCATAAAAGGTAATAATTGTTTATACCTTCGGGGTTCTCTTTTGTATGTCAGTGTCATCATCACCACGACCACCAGCGACGACCTCATCGTTATCATCAGCAGCACCATGCGAAATTTAATCATCATCGTCTTCATTTCGTACGTCTGCTATCATCATCATCATCGCCGTCGTCGTTCTCCTCATCATCATCATCATTATCATTGCTCTCTTTGCTATTCTCATCATTATCACTATTATCGTCATTATTTATTATTATTATTATTATTATTATTATTATTGTTGTTGTTGTTGTTGTTGTTGTTGTTGTTGTTGTTGTTGTTATTGTTTCCAGATCTGAGCGTGTCATCAAATAGTGGCTGTATGTGCTCTGTCAATCGTTCATCCATCGATCTGAAGGTGTGTGTGTGTTCTTTGTGTGTTTGTGTATGTGTGTGTGTGTGTGTGTATGTGTATGTGTATGTGTGTGTGTTGGTTTGTATGTGTGTGTGTGTATATATATTGGTGTGTGTATGTGTGTCTATGTGTGTGTGTCTGTCTGTGTGTGTGTGTGTGTGTGTGTGTATGTGTGTGTGTCTGTATGTGTGTGTGTGGTGTGTGTGTGTGTGTTTAAGTGTGTATGTGTTGGTTTGTGTGTTTGTTAGCGTGTGTGAATGTGAGAGAGCGTGTATGGATGCATTTAGTTCGTATTTATTTATAAATAAATATCTAATATATAAAATAAATAAATAAAAACAGTACAGCAACGATGACCTGACCCTGGCCTTGACCCAAGGAGTTCAAGGTTGTCAGGTAACCTACAAACATTCGGAGGTCGTTTACCTTATGAAGCTTGTTGAACTTTGTTGTGCGGATGTCATTGAGATGAAAAGGAGGGGGAGGAAGATGGTGAAATCTGGGGAGAGAATTAGGTTACTGATTGGTTGACTTATTGGTTGACTGATTGACTGATTGACTGATTGATTGATTGATTGATTGATTGATTGATTGATTGATTGATTGATTGATTGATTGATTGATTGATTGATTGATTGATTGATTGATTGATTGATTGATTGATTGATTGATTGATTGATTGATTGATTGATTGATTGATTGATTGATTGATTGATTGATCGATCGATCGATCGATCGATTGATTGATTGATCGATCGATTGATCGATCGATTGATTGATCGATTGATTGATCGATTGATTGATCGATTGATCGATTGATTGATTGATCGATTGATTGATCGATTGATTGATCGGTCGATTGGTTGATTGATTAACAAAGCATTGCAACAACATCAGCAGCACCAGATTATCCAAGCAGCATCAACAACAACAACAGCCACACCATCAATACAAGACTCTGTTGCAATCTTCCTCAATACAACCACCACCATCGTCACCAATGGCATCACCACTATCGTCAACACCACTGCAACTAAAACTGGATTTCAACGTGAGTGAAGTGGTGATAATGATGCCACTTGGTGGACAAGATGGCGGCGGTGGCGGCAGTGGTGGTGGTAGTGGTGGCGACTGCAACGTAGTGTGCGGTCTCTCAACGTTTAGAATGGTCTTCAATAAGATCAATAATAATGGTACGTTGTTGTTTTTGTTGTTGTTAATGATGATGATGATGATTATAGTGATGATGATGATTATTATTATTATTATAGTTTTATTATTATTATTATTTGTTTTAATCTCCAGTTAGTAAGACCTCGGACAAAACAGTGGACATCGAGATGACGAACTTTTTCTCCAGGTAATGATAATTATTTTTAATTTTTTATCGTTATTATTATTAATTATTATTATTATTTATTGTTATAATTATTTGCTTCGTTTCTATCTCCTGTTGTTATTATTATTATTATATATTATATATATATATTGTTCGCACAAAAGTTGTTCAACGATTGGAAACAACCACAAAATTAAATGTCAGCCCGTGACAAAAACTTCAAATTTTAAGAAGGTACCTACATAGTTTCACAGCTACAAGTTTTGCCTGGCTTGGATATCAGAAAATTTAGATAGCCTAATTGTATAGGCAGTTAGAGAATATGCCTGTCAGCTCAATCTGCGTATCTCAATTACTATCATTGCCTTTGAAAATGGCAGGGCGTGACATCATCTCACTGAAAGATGCAGCGGAGAAAATGAAACCGAAACTACTTAATTATTTCAAGACCAGCGGAAATGAAGAAATTCAATGTTTATGGAGAGGATCATCCATCGACTGTATCAAGGTTGGCAATGAACTTGCGAAGGAGGGTACGTTAAAGGCATCGCTCAATCAGTTGGAAGATAAAAGGATTGAATCTAGTCTAAACTCTAAATCATATACTCTTATTGCAGAGCCAAAGCCCCTCTGATTTAAAAAATAAAGAATTTTGTTCAAACAGCCCGCATATCATATTGGTCAAAAACAATAGAAAATCTTAGCGAAGTCCGCTACAAATTTGCCATAAAATCTTGAAAAAATTCTCCCCCGTGTCAAAAAATTTGCTATTTAAGTACATACGCGGCCCTTCAAAGATAAAATAGTTCTCAATGCGGTCCTCACAGCAAAACGTTTGCCCACCCCTGTGATAGAAACACGCTATGATACTAATTTAAATATATTTTACCCCCCAACACTTGTCAGCCTTTTATTAATTTTATGAATTTTATTAACGCTACAACATTTTATTTTATTTTATTCATCTAATCATTTGCTTTTAAAGTTTTGAGATCAGTAAAAGTCTTTCCATTATTATTGTTATTATTATTTATTTATTATTTATTTATTAGTCAATCAACTTTACTGTAGCGATAGTAACTAGCAATCACTTAATTGAGTTATTCAGACGGTTTTGTTTTTAATATAGGAGTCATGATAACGATAGCAGTGACAACAGCAGCGGTTATGATAATAGTCGTGGCGTCTTTGGTGGTACAAGTGGTGGTGGTGGTAGTAGTAGTGGTGGTGGTTTAGGTGGTGGGGGTTTTCTTAGAGTGGGTGACGTCACGAATAATTACAAGAAACACCATTGGGGCGTGATGTTTTATACCGGGCTTATAATATCAAAGGTTGTTTGTAGTGTTGTTGTTGTTGGCGTGTTTGTTGTTGTTTGTAGGTGTGTTTGTGGTGTGTTTGGTTGTTGTTTGTACGTGTGTTTGTAGTGTGTTGTTGGTGTGTTTGGTTGTTGTTTGTAGGTGCGTTGTGGGTGTGATTGTAGTTGTTGTTTGTAGGTGTGTTGTTGTTTGTAGGTTGTTTGTGGTGTGTTGTAGTTGTGTTTGTTGTTGTTGTTATTGTATTGTTGTTGTTATTGTATGTCATTGTTTGTTGATATGTTTTCGCTACTGTTGATGTGTCTGTGTTGTTTGTTTGTTGTTTGTTTGTTGTTTGTTTGTCTTTTGGTTTGTTGTTGTGGTTGTTGTCCTTGTGGTTGATGTTGTTGTTGTTGTTTATTTAAGTGTTATTGATGTTGTTGTTACTATATAATATTTTCATTATTATTATTATTATTATTGTTATTATTATTATTATTAATAATAATAAAATTGAATGACCTTCAGACCAGCTTATACAGCAAGCAGCCAATCAGTGTGGAAAGTATGATTGACAGCTTACAGTTCGAGTTAACTCCGCCCATAATTAATTCCCTCCAATCATTGGTCGATAATGTCCTCTTTGATCTGTTCAAGTCTTTTCTTAGTATTAAAAATTTAGTGAAATATTCAAAGGTTAAATGTGATAATGATTGTGGCCAAGCTTCTACTACTACTACTACTGCTGCTGCTGCTGCTGCTGCTGCTACTACTACTTCTACTACTACTGCGGCTAACAACAATGGCGGGGGTGATGATAATGATGCAGTAGGCGGGGCCAAGGGTGACATCACGATGAGCTTGCAGATTATTGGCTTAAATGGGTTTCTTTGCCATGAAAATATGAGTTAGTGTCGTATGTGGTAATATCTGTCAACTAAGTTTATCGATCAATTATGGTATCAGTTAGTTAATTAGTAATATAAAAACTAATTAATCAACCAACCAATCCACCAATCAATCAATCAATCAATTAGTCAATCATTCCATCGATTTTAAATCAGTCAAACAATTAAACGATCAATCAATCATTCATCTATTCATTCATTCAATCAATCAATCAATCAGTCAATCGGTCAGTCAATCAATCAATCGACCAACCAGCCAATCACACGCACGCACATGCACGCACACACACGCACGCACACGCACATAGCAACAGTGATGGTGAGAGTGAATTCACTGACGGTACCGTCTTGCAATCACAACAACCTCATCATCAACGTCATCGGCATCAAGTCATCATACTTCATCAGGAATAATAAGGTACTCACTCATGATGATGATGAGGACGACGACGATGATGATGATGGTGGTGATGATGGTGGTAATGATGGTGATGGTGATGATGATGATGTTATGATGACGACGACGATGATGACGATATTTATGTTAATGACGATGGTGGTACAAGTTGTGGTGATGATCTTTGCATCACCACCACCACCTCAGTTTATAAGCACAAGCATCAAATCGGACCCTAGCAATGACGTCATCGACCTTTCAACTGTCAACGTCAACTTTGACCTCCAACAGAGGGTTAACTGGATAGATGGATGGATGGATGGATGGATGGATGGATGGATGGATGGATGGATGGATGAGCGAATCGACGGATGAATGAATGAATGAATGAGAGAGTAAATGAATCAACGGATGAATGAATGAATTATTGATAAATTTATTTGTTAGTTGAATAAATGAATGAACGAACGAATGACTTAACTAATATATGGAGAATGAATGATTGGTTGGTTGGTTGGTTGGTTGGTTGGCTAGTTGGTTGGTTGGCTGGCTGGTTAACTGGCTGGTTAACTGGCTGGTTGGCTAGCTGGCCTGCAAATAAACAATCTAATAACTATGCATATATAAACAAACACACACACAGACACGAACACACAAACATAAACAATCGAACATGAACACACACACAAAAAACGAACACAAAAACACTCGCACAGAGGCTGAACATAGACGCATCTGAGACGTTAAAAGTGAGGTGGTCATACGCTGTCCACTTGTGCTTCCACACTGTCCTCTCGCATGTCTTTGATGTTTATCATGGTGGTTTTGGTGAGTGGATGATGGTAGTGGGGACGATTGTACGCTGATGAAGATGATGATGATGATGGTTGTTGGTGATGATGATGGTGGTGGTGGTGATGCTGTTGATGATGATAACGATGATGATGTGATAACGACGTTTATGATGATGATGGTGGTGGTGATTTTATTGAATTGTAAAATCTCAAAGTGAAAGCGAAATTCAAGGAACTCTTAAAAAACGGAGAAACCCAAGTCAATACCGCCAACAACAACAACAACAACAACATCATCAACAACAATAATAATAATAATAAACACGCTGGTGATGATACAAATAAACGGTGCTATGGATATGATGATGATGACGATAATAGTAATAATAATAATAATAATAACAAAAATGATGACGATAATGATGATGATGACGATGATGAAGAGTACGAAGGTTTCGACAACGAATTCAACAAAGATGGCGCTGATGACATCACGATCGAAAACAACAACAATAATAATAACAACAATAATAATAATAATAACAAAAGCAAACGTAGGCATAAAAATAATAATAAAAATAAGAATAGGAAGCCCAATCTGCTTGAGAGTAAAAGTAATGATGTCGTCGGTGATGGGGGTTGCGGTAATGATTACGAGAGAGATAGTGGTGGAAAGGAGAGGAGGAAGTTGGAGTGTAGTTTCGACCTGTGCTCGCTCTCCCTACACATCAGACTCTCTCCTGATCATTTGTTAGTTGGATATTCTTGGGTTTTTTCATTCTTTCATTTCACGTTTGTTTGTTTTCCTCTGTCTGTCTATCAGTTTCAGTTTTTGTCGGTAGGGTTCTTTAATGGTTAAAGGAGGTTGGTTTTGCCTCACAACCGGGTTCGAATGCCAAGAGATCATACTATATATCATACGCGGAATGTCTCCGTCTTTATTGATGATAGATGCGTTTTTAGTTTATCTTAAGATGGAATGGCCCATATAATAGTAGATTGTCAATGTATGTTTGTCTATTTGTTTTCCTGTCTGTATTGGTTCGTTTGTCTGTCTGTCAGTTTGTCTGTCTGTCTGTACGTATTTGCTTGTTTGTTTGATTGTTTATTTTTCTATTTGTTATTTTTACATTATTCGATAGCTTGTTTATTAATTAATTCATTTATTCATTCATGCATGCATTTTGTTATTCGTTCGTTTATTCATTCATTCGTTCGTTCGTTCGTTTGTTCATTCATTTATTTGTTTGTTCGTCTATTTACTTAATTGTTTGTTCACTCTTCAGTCATTCATTCATCAATCCATCTATCCATTCATTCATTCATTCATTAGTTGATTCATTTTTTTCATTTATTCAGTCATTAATTCATTCCTTCATCCATCCATCCATTCATTCCTTCATCCAACGACTTATTTCGCCAAAGTTCTCAAGTGAGGGCAGAGGAGGTGAGGGTCCGTAAGCAGAGTTGCACGGTCCTTAAGATGGCCTCTCTCACCGTTTCATCCGATCAGTTCACCTTCATTGACGCTAAGGTTTATTCATTCATTCATTCATTTGTGCATTTATTCTTTCATTCATTCATTCATTTATGCATTAATGCATTTATTCATTCATTCATTGTTGATTGGTTAACCATTGAAAAAAAAAACAATTAAATTTTCTCAATTTTTCTTATTTTAAAATATAACTGCACAGGAAGTGCATTTGACGTACGACCGCTACGGCAACCGGTTGAGGAACCAAAGATCAAATATAAAAGGTTTCCAGCAGACGACAAACAGGCTGTTTGTTTTCGAAGCGCACACTTTTTCAATTCTTTTCGCGTATGATTACCTCTTCTACGCTTGGTTGGAAGAGGTGGGTTGTTTTGTTTGTTTGTTTGTTTGCTAGTTTGTTTGTTTGCTTGTTTGTTTGTTTGTTTGTTTGTTATTTTGTTTGTTTGTTTGTTTGTAGTTGCACACTTGTTCTCTTGCACTGGCTACCTATAAAATATAGAATAATTTTTAAAATTTGCACGCTCATGTATAAGTCTCAATCTAAATTATTTTCTAAGTATTTATCAGATATATTAATTGAACCTAAACGCCCCGGTTTACGATCGTCTTCTTCTTCTCGCTTTTTCTTAACTCGTGTTAAACACTCCTTTGCTAAATCTGCATTTGCTTTTTCTGGTCCTTTTCTCTGGAACTCTCTACCTACTTCTCTGACTACTTCTCCATCACTTGCGAAGATCTCAAGACCCATCTGTTTTCAAAATTCATTGAGGAGCGCTGTTGAACATCGCGGAAATAGCTCTTTATAAGCTAATTGATTGATTGATTGATTGATTGATTGATTGATTGATTGATTGATTGATTGATTGATTGATTGATTGATTGATTGATTGATTGATTGATTGATTGATTGATTGATTGATTGATTGATTGATTGATTGATTGATTGTTTTCAACTTCTGCACGTTTGTGTGTTTTCATTGATCCTGTGTTCATGTTTATCGTTCACACTTTCAGGTTAAATGTTTAAGAAAGTGGATCAGATTGAAGTACTTCAAGAGAGCAAAGATTAATGTTAACAACGACAACAACAACAACAGCAACGACAATAAAGATAACATCAACAACAATAGCAGCAGCAGCAACAACAACAACATCAGTTTTAACAACATCAACAACATCAACAACAAAAATGTGATCAACTTCGACTTTAGCGACATCAACGACATTCACAGTCGCATCAAGCAGAAGAAGAGCAGTGATAACACTAACGATGATGGTGACGTTGGTGGTTCAAATTCAGAGAAGCCCATCAAGACATCAATTGATGTCATCATAAATGTTGATGTCTGTCTGCTTGTTTTCAGTTGAAATATTTAAATGTTTAATAAGTTTAATTATATATTCACTTTTTTTCTGCCATCTGTCTGTTTATCCATGCATTCATTCATTCATTCATTCATTCATTCATTTAATTTCTAACACATTGCCATTCAACCATTCATTCATTCTTTATTTGTTTATTTTACATTTTTAAACATTCATTCAATTTATCTATATACCGGTTTTTTCTTCCATTTTGTTGTTCGTTCGTTCATTTATCCATTTATCCATTTATCCATTCATTCATTCATTCATTCATTCATTCATTCATTCATTCATTCAAGTTTGTTATATTGAATTATAGTGAATTATAACGGGGTGAATTTCATTTTATTATTATTATTATCATTTTAATAGCCATAGCATATCGCAATTGATTATAATAAATATTAATGACGATTAATTAATTATCATAATTAATTAATTTATTCATCGCATATTTGTAATTCAGCTCTTCACCATTGAAATATCAGACGATCCTTTCGAAGTTAAGCTGGGCGACAATTACGAGGTGATGGTGATGGTGATGATGACGACGACGATGATGATGATAATGATGATGGTGTTGTTGTTGATGATGACGATGATGATGGTGTTGTTATTGATAATGATTATGATAATGAATAATTATACTGATGAAGTTTAATAAGATTATTATGATTATAATGGGCGTCGTGATAGCCTAATGGTTAAAGGCGCCTGCTCCTGATACTGAAGTGACGGTATTCGATTCCTGCTTATCATATGCAACGTGTGTGACGCGCGGTTCTCGTTATTATCATTATTATTATTATTATTATTATTATTATTATTATTATTACTCCACTTGAACCAGCTGCTGTGTGATGAGGATGTTGAGAACGTGAGAAGGATGCAGGCCATGGATAAGAGAATCGAGGAGATGAGGATGAATGCTTTCATTTCCGGTTTGAAAGATTTTCTTCTCTCTGTCAATCTTCTCATCATCATCATCATCATTATTCTTCTTATTTTTATTATTATTAATATTATTATTATTATTATTATTACCATGGTTGCAATCATTACTTTTATCAACATCATTTTATCATCGTCACCACCATCGTCACCACCATCATCATCACCACCATCATCACCACCATCATCATCACCACCATCATCACCACTATCATCACCACCATCATCATCATCACCACCACCATCGTCGCCACCATCATCATCATCACCACCATCATCGTCGTCACCATCATCACCACCACCATCATCGTCATCATCACCATCATCACCCCCAGAGAGTGCAGTGGAGTCGTTGTACGCCGTTCTGAACGAGCGCACATCCCAGGTGTACGTGCAGCGCGCCAAGCAGATGTACGCGCAGACGCCGATGCGTTCGTCACTGTGCGCGTGGTCTCTGACGTCATTCAACGTCACCATGATGGCCGACGCTTCGATGGGCAGGAAGGAAGATGTCGTCCAGTTTATTAGGACTGTTAATTCTGAGAGGTTGGTTGGTTGGTTGGTTGGTTGGCTGGTTGGTTGGTTGGCTGGTTGGTTGGTTGGTTGGTTGGTTGGTTGGCTAGCTGGTTGGTTGGTTGGCTGGCTGGTCGGTCGGTTGGTTCAATCGTTTGTTTAACTGTTTAGTCATTTGTTTGCTCATTCGTTCGTTCATTCATTCATTCATTGATCTATTCATTCAATTATTGATTTGTTCTTCATTTATTTATCTATCCATTCATCTAAATATTCATTCATTCATCCATTCGTTTATTCATTCGTTCATTTATTCATTCATTCATTTATTCATTCATTCATTTATCCATTTATTCATTCATTCGTTTATTCATTCATCCATTCGTTCATTCATTCATTTCTATTCGCACCAGTCCTTTATCGGATGACGTTGAATTTTCCACGTTGTTCCTGAGGGAGTTGCGCCTGCATTCCTCCACGACCACCTTCCAACTCAGGGACTTCCCTCAACCCATGCTGGATATCTGCGAGTGGGAGGTCGTGGGGAGACTGGCTGCTGCTGAACAGGAGGGAGGAGAGAGAAGTGGGTAGGGGAAGGAGAAGGAGGATGATGTGGTGGTGAGAGAGAAAGGAGGAGGATGTGGTGGTGGTGGTGGTGGTTAGTGCTTGTTATGATTTGATAGCTGGATGATTGTTTCTGTTTTAATATACAATACCGTACACTGCTCCAATGTTTGATGCCCTGCCTTGCTGTCTCGATTGATAGGTCGCCGGTGGACCACGATTGACTTCGGAGAGCCCTGGGGCAGAGCCAACGTGCCCAGGAACATGTCCCCTGTCAAGTTCTTCTACAATCTGAAGAATGGTTTGTTTTTGGAATGATGATTGTGACAATGGTGTGGTAGTGGTGATACGATGGCAGTAATCTTCAAGAGGATGGTAGCATGTTCACTTCAATGCCAGTATAATGACGAACCATTCGTTTCTAGATATGAAAAGTTTTACGCTGACGTACGGTTCCTGCTGGGAGCCAATCATATCTCAAGTTTCTCTGTCACTCAACAAAATTTTTCGCCCATCACTGGACCCCAGTCCTCCACTTCCGTTCTGGGATAAGTTTCGTCATATTTTGCACGGAGATTTCGTAGTAAATGCTGCCAGGTGTCGTCTGATGTGTCATGCTTCCATGGATCCTTACAATGATACGGAGTTTATGGATTGGTTGTGGAGTAATCTTAAATTTCATTGGATTACCGGTTGGTTGGTTGGTTGGTTGGTTGGTTGGTTGGTTGGTTGGTTGGTTGGTTGGTTGGTTGGTTGGTTGGTTGGTTGGCTGGCTGGCTGGCTGGCTGGCTGGCTGGCTGGCTGGCTGGCTGGCTGGTTGGCTGGCTGGCTGGCTGGCTGGCTGGCTGGCTGGCTGGCTGGCTGGCTGGCTGGCTGGCTGGCTGGTTGGTTGGTTGTTGGTTGGTTGGTTGGTTAACCATTCAATAGGTTATATGGCAAACTGGTTGTGTTTTGTGTTTTGATTGGATATATGATTCTAAAATTTACAATCCAATCATAATCCAGCAGTCAAATCCAAACCAAATTCACGATCCAATCATAATCCGGCAAGCAAATCACCAAACCAATCATGATTGATCGATAAAACGAATAATCCAATAACATTCCGTCAATCTAATTACTTAACCGACCTCCTAACCAATCAGCCACTGCTAAATCATTTATATCATCCCACGTTTCAATTGACAGGCGAGGTTAAATTCCATGGAAATCTTGAGATCCTGCTGAGAGCAGCTTCTAAGTATGATGAGTGTTGCATCATCAAGTGGAATGATCTTCAGCTGATGTTCGTTTGCTGTTTTTATACCTGTGACTGCATGCATGCATGCATGCATGCATAGACAAACATACAATTCACACGTACATACAAATGTATACACATACAGAACACAAACACACACATGCACATGCACATACACACACATGCACACACACACATGCACACACACAAACAAATGTAAAACTACTCACGATTTAATTCACACACACATATACACACACGTACACACGTACACACACACACATATAAACACACACAGATTCAAATTAGATTTTGTATGCACTGGTCAGCAGCCACACGACCACCATTCTGTACATCCGTCATCTCTTCAATACGTCCTCCATACACTCGGACCCAATGCAAAGGCTGGTCACTCAGTTACTGCTACTAATTATAATGCTGTAATTATAATAAAGGTTAAAGGTTACTCTCTCTCTCTCTCTCTCTCTCTTTCTCTCTCTCTCTCTCTTGTGTTTGTTTCAGAGGTTTCAACGACAAACACACACAGCGTATATGAATACGCGTGCAAATCACGCATCATACACATTGCTTATGATAGGCTTTGTACTCGAACCCAGTCATTGCAACAGCAAGAACAGGCGCCTTTAGCCATTGAGCCATCACGCCGCCAAATGTCTTATAACTGTTATAACATGCCCTAGCAGAACTACGATACATTCCTGAACTTTCGATCGAAAAGTCTCACACTGTCCTTGACATTCAAATCATCCACAACAACATCGGCCACAGCAGCGACAACATCGGCTACAGCGACACCATCATCGGCGCCAGAACTGCTGCCGTCAGCGTCATCATTATCATTACCGATATCATCGTCGACCCGCCCTTTATCATCCTCGGCTTCGTCGTCATCATTGACGTCATCATTAAGGAGGGGTTCGAAAACAGCAGCAGGTGTGGCGGCTTCGTCGGCGTCATCGTCGTCTTCACCACCGAATCAGAGGAGAGCTGCTTCTGTTTCGTGTTTGTGTTACGCCTCGACAATTAGGTGGATGAACAATTTGAAGGTTGTTGTTGTTCTCTTGTCTATTGAAGCATGAAACATTTCTGTTTAGGTGGTCACACATTAGATGAATCTTCATGTATAACATTCTATTTTGATCGCCATGCGTGTTTGTAATTTTCACTGTTGAGAAGCAAGTAAGGTTTGGTCTCGTTTCGTTTTGTTTTTTTTTTGTTTTTATTTTTTTGTATTGTTGTTTTAGAAGCACATGAAAACTCGTTTCGTTTTGTTTTGTTGTCTGCTAAGGATGATATGTAGTTGTTTGTTTGTATTTGTTTGTTGTTGTTTGATATTCATTGTAGGAGATTGTTTGTCGCTTCTCTGGTTTTTTGCTTGTTTCATTGCCATGTATGCTGTTTGCTAACTTGTCAGTTCAGTAATTAATATTTTCCGATTAATCTGTGAAATGTCTTTTTCACGTTCTGGTATTCGATTGTCGAGTGGCTGTGTGACACTCATTTGAAAAATTCAAACTATTTTCTCAGTATCGACCAACTCAGTTTCACCAACCAAATAACTGGCAATCAACCAGCAGTTATCAACTAACGAAAACGTCCATCCAGTCATCCGAATCATTTCATTAAAAACATTCCGCAAAACTTTGACAACTTTTATTTCAGGTGGTTGTGCTAGATGAGCTCCTCGATGAACTCTATCACAACCAACATGCCTTCTTATCATTATGTTGTATCATATTGAGTAGGAAATAAAAAATATTGTATTGTATTGTAAAACAAAATTCAATTAGCAAAGTTAATCAACCAACCAACTAACCCACAAACCAACCAACCAACTAACCCACCAACCAGTTCTGCCTAAAAACTCTCTCTCAGCCAATCAGACGAGGCAGATATTTCAAAAGTCTCAAGCAAACCAAGCCCAAGCTATCGAGACACATTAGGTCGGTTTTGTAATTTTTTTTATTTTTGTTTGGTTGTTTTTTGTTATTGATGTTCTTAGTTTTCTGTTACAGGCAGCTAATATTAATCATGGAGATCCCGGACATACGCTGTTCCTATTGGAGCTCCTTCAGGCAGAGCTACGGGGCAGAGCTATTCAGCCGACCAATCACCTTGGACCTTTCATTAGCTATTGAAACGCTGACAAATAGGACGTCAGTGTACAACTTGACCGGAAAACGTCATAAGGAAAGTTACAATCATTATCATCAGCACCAAAAACAACAACAACAACAAAAGCGTCAAATTCGTCGTCGTCGTCTTATTCCAGAGAATGGTGATGATAATAGTAGTGCTGATGGTGCCGGTGCTGATGATGATCGTAGAGATGGTGGCGGTAATGATGTTGAGGAGGAGGAAGAGGAAGTGGTGTTGGTGAGGAGGCCGATGAGGAAATACGAAATTATGAACTTCCGCTCACAATTTGATGACGTATCAATATGGCTGTCTTGCGCTAATTATATGAAGAAGGTGACGATGATGTGATGATGATTGTAATGAGGATGTGATGATGATGATGGTGATGGGATGATGATGGTGATGTGCTGATGATGATGCTGGTAATTACTAATTTGTTATTACTTTTCTAGCGGCCTTTTTTTAAATTTTCAGACAAAGTTTAAGTTTGAGAAAAACGAATCAAATTTTTTGCTCAGTGTTGACAAGTTAGTTTATTTTTTTGGCGTGTGTTTTTTTTTATGTGGTTATCTTTGAACTTTTAGAATCTTTTGGGACTTGTTAAAAAATTGATTAGTAAGTATAATAATTTGTAGGTGAGTTGTTCTGTTATAACTTGTTACACTATTCTACCGAATGAATTTTTTACAAATTTTTTACAAATTTCAGAATAATTTACAAGAGGGCAGAACAAAATGGCCTATTTAAGGTTCATAAGCACTTTAATTAATTAATTAATCAATTTATTTATTTAATAGTCAATTTATTCATTTAATTATTTAATAGTATTCAAATGTAATGAAGTACTATAAATGTTATGAAATGGATTTATTATCAGTGTATAAGAACTGTCCCATTTTCAGCCAAGTTATTTTAAAAGTTTTGCTAATCTTGTAAGTTGAAGAATTGTTTGATCATCAGCCAATCATAAACTACCTCATTGTGAACTGTATTTCATCCTTACAATCAATCAATCATTTATTCATTCTTACAGTCAATCAATCATTCATTCGTTCATTCATTCTTATAACCATTCATTCATTCATTCTTATAACCGTTCATTCATTCATTCATTCATTCATTCATTCATTCTTGCAATCATTCATTCATTCATTAATTCATTCATTCATTCATTCTTACAATCAATCAATCGATCGATCAAGAACCCGTCCGAGGGTGCCACCCACGAAGTAACAGTAGAGAACTTGAAGGGCTGCTGGACCCCCTACAATAGGGACATTGCCTTTGCCCTCTACGACTCCCACATCAAATCTCAGATGTTGGTCAGGAACCTCTCTTCCGATGCCCTCAAAAGCATCAAACTCGAATCCACCGGAACTACTCCTAAGGTTTGATGAATGTCGAGACGGTATAGCGGTTAAGGTGTGTGCTCGCACGCACACCCCACTCACACGCACGCACACGCACACACAAACTGCAGAGAAGCAACACATCCCTATCGTCCGAGTTCATCTTCTCCCCCCAGCCGTCCACCCACACCTCGGAGGCACTTCTACAGAAACTTATCAGGGAGAGTAACAGCAAGTTCGTGGCGGTCCATGAAGAGGTAATGATGATGATGGTGGTGGTAATGGTGATGGTGGTAATGGTGATGGTGACGATGATGATGATGATGATGATGACGACGACGATGACTGCAATTTTGATTATCATAAAATTATCTTTTGGTCATCAACTCAGTCTTAAAATTTTTTCTTCTTGGCTTCTCCAGAATAAAACTGCTTGTCTTCATCATCGTCGTCGTCGTCACCATCTTCATCATCATCATTATTATAATAATAATAATAATAATAATAATTATTATTATTATTATTATTGTTTGTGTCATCCTTATCATCATCATCATCCTCTTCTTCTTCTTCTTCATCATCAGTTATCAGTTGGCGAAGTTGATATGAACCATCTACAAGCTTATTACGTCTGCAAGATGGATGACGTCACCGTAAAAAACTGGAAAGGTGAGTGAGTGTATGAGTGAGTGAGTGAGTGAGTGAGCGAGCCAGTGAGTGAGTGAGTGAGTGAGTGAGTGAGTGAGCGAGTGACTGTTTATGATGATTGTGATAATCAGACTGACATAGAGGAAGGCAGTGGTGATGATGATGATGAGGAGGAGGAGGAAGAGATGGAGGATGATAGTGGTGACAGTGATATGATAATGATGAAACGATGATTGCGGTGATGACCTTGATTACGGTGATGACCTTGAATAATTAACCCACCCCACCCAATTCTAGTGACCCTGATAAACAGTCAGGTGATGTTGAGTGGGTGTGAGACGTCGGGTTGCATCATCATGAGCACCCCTAGCGCCTCCCTCCTGGCCTGCCACCACGCCCCCATCTTCACCCAAAACCACCAAGTTCGCAGTAAGTCATCCATTGTCGGCTCGGTGGAGTCTATGCAGGTTGGTGGTGGTGGTGATGATGATGATGATAATGATGGTATTGATGATAATGAAAGTGGGATGGTGATGATGATGATAGTGGTGGTGGTGATGATGACGACGATGATGATGATGATGAAGAATAAGATGATGATGAAGAAGAAGATGATGATGATAGTGATGATGGTGTCGGTTATGAATTTTGTAGTGTGGTTGTTTTTTTTCTATCATTTCATAACATCATCAACCACATCAACAACAACAACATCAACAACAACATCATCAACCACATCAACAACAACATTATCACCAGCAACAACATCAACAACATCATCAACAACAACATCACCAACAACAACAATATCATCAACAACAACAACCACATCATCAAAAACAACAACATCATCAACAACAACAACAACAATATCATCAACAACAACAACAACGTCAACAACAAAATCTTCAGTACTACGCAACAATAACGGACAACATCAACTTGGAGAATATTGAGTGGCTATCGACCAGAGACATTGAAGATAGGCAGTCTACCAGTTCCGAGGTCTGCTCCTTGACCATTGAGAACCTCATCAATAACATGGATAATATACAGGTCTGTCTGTCTATCTGTCTGTCTATCTGTCTGCCTATCTGTCTGTCTGTCTATTGATATATTTATTGTTTTCTTCGTCTGTCTGTCCATCTACCTGTTTTGTTTAACTGCTTGTCTGTCTATTTGTCTGCTTGACTGTTTGTGCGTATGTATGTTTGTGGGCTTGTTTGCCTATCTATCCGTTCATCCACTCATCCATTCACTCATCCATCCATCCATTCACTCATCCATTCACTCATCCATCCATCCATCCATCCATCCATCCATCCATCCATCCATCCATCCATCCATGCAGAAAGATGTATCCCACCTACAAAGGATCATATCCCGTTGTCAGTGCCAGTTTTATTGGTGCTGGTACGGCGAGCTTGATGATGATGATATTCTTGAAGTTCCTGTTAGTTATGATGATGATGATGATGTGTATGGTGGTGATGTTGATGATGATGATAATGTATATGGTGGTGATGGTGGTAACGATGATGATGGTGGTTGTGGTGATGATGGCGGTGTTGATTGTATTCTCGAAATATTTCCATTGTAATCATCGTCATCACTGTCGTCAACAACAACAATGTCATCATCAACAACAACAACAACGTTATCATCACCACCACCATCATCAACATCACCACCATCAACATTACCACCATCAACAACACCATCACCACCATTGTCACAATCACCATCAGGTCTTCGAGGACACGTCATCTTCATACTCGGACGCCCTGAAAACTCAGGAGGGTGTGGATGCGTTCACTCTCGTGCACAACGAACTGAACATCTCCACTAACTCCGTCTGTCGTTCTTGCTGCTCTTATTATTATTATTATTATTATTATTATTATTATTATTATTATTATTATTTAGATTAAAAAGGATTTTATAATTATTTCATTATTAATATTTGTTATTTGGAGTTAGAAAATAAAAGGATGTTCCATTTTTATTATTATTATTATTATTAGTAGTAGTAGTAGTAGTAGTAGTAGTAGCAGTAGTAGTAATAATAGTAGTAGTAGTAGTAGTAATAGTAGTAGTAATAGTAATAGTAGTAATAGTAGTAGTAGTAGCAGTAGTAGTAGTAGTAGTAGCAGTAGTAGTAGTAGCAGTAGTAGTAGTAGTAGTAGCAGTAGTAGTAGCAGTAGTAGTAGTAGCAGTAGTAGTAGCAGTAGTAGCAGTAGATTTGGTGGTAGTAGTAGTAGTAGTATTCGTGTCGTCGTCGTCGTCATCTCATCAACACATCATTTCCTTCGTCGTATCTTTGCCATCTTATCATCATTATCATCATCATTATTATATCATCATTATCATCATAATCATCATCTTCATCATCATCATCCTTTTCATCATCATCATCATCAGGTGCAGTATGCCACAGCACTTGACATCATAAACAACCTCTTGCTGTACGTGGAGCCCAAACGAAAAGTTAGTCGCACATTAATTACTTTTCGTTCACTTTCTACAAGTTAAGCTAATATAACTCAGTAGTTTAGCTAATAGCTAAATTAGCTCAGTAATTTAGCTAATAGCTAAATTAGCTCAGTAGTTTAGCTATTCACCAAAGTGTTGTTCGTTTAGAAAATGTCATTGAATCCTTTAAAGAATGTTGGCTCATTTTTTACTTTACCATTTTTGTATTTCCAACTTTGCAAGTTTGCCAGGTTAGCTGAGTAGGTAGAGGTGGTGCCGTATATCTTGCGTTTTTATTTTTCGCTATTTTATCTCCTCCTTTTTGATTATTCCAGCAAAAACCGAATATATCTTCAGCTGGTTTTTTCTTATAACCTTAAAGGGAAAACCTGTTTTTGAAAATTTGCAGGCGAACTGTCGCCTCGATATCAGCAATAAATCTTTTTCATTGAAATTTCACCTGGACAGTTACTTAATGAACAACAACAACTACACGTTAACATAACATCAACTACAACAACAACTACACATTAACAACGTGACATCAACAACAACAACATCAACAACAACAACATCGCAATGTCAGGAACTGTCGGAAAAGTTGATGGACATGAGGTTCAAGTTGCAGTTGAGCAGTGACGCTGACCTCAGGTCGCCCATCTTCAACAAGCAGACCAAACTAAGGTCAGGGTGGTCATAATAATGACGATGGTGATGGTGGTGATTAAAATTATGATAATGATTGTGATGATAAAAATGGTGATGATTAAAATTTTGATAATGGATGATGGTGATGGTGATTAAAAGGATGATAATAAATGTGGTGATGGGGATGATGATGATTGTAATTATGATAATGATGGTGATGATGAATGTGGTGATGGTGATATTCGATGATGATTATGCTGATAACTATTCACGTTACAGTAGATGACATTGTAGTGATAGTGGTAATGATGACGACGACACGACGATGATGATGATGATGATGATGATGATTGTGATGACGATTTTGATGATGACGACGATGATGATAGTGATGGTGATAATGATGATAGTGATGGTGACGACGATTAGGCCGATTAGGTTAGGTTAGGTTAGGCTGCCACCAAATGATCATGATGATTTTTTTTCTTCTCTTTCCAGGAAATTGGTTGAGAGGACGAAATTTTTAGAAAAAGAAGTCTATCTGTCTCAAAAATCTGAAGAACTTAAACAAGAGTTTGTTGTTGTTGATGTCTTGTTGTTGTTTATGTTTTGTCGTTGTTGATGTTTTGTTGCTGTTGATGTTTTGTTGCTGTTGATGTTGTTGGTGTTTTTGTTGATGTTGTGGTTCTGCTGTTGTTTTTATGTTGATGTCACGTTGTTGTTGTTGATGTTATTGATGTTTTTTTGTTGTAGTTGTGGTTCTGTTGTTGTAGTTTTAGTAATTGTTGTGTTGATGTTGTTATTGATGCTGTTGATGTTGGTGCTGGTGTTGTCGACGTTTTTGTTGTAATTGTTGTTCTGTTGTTGTTGTTTTTGTAATCCATGTTGTTGATGTTGAAGTTGATGTTGTTGCAATGTTGAAATTGGTGTTGTTGCAATGTTGAAGTTGATGTGGTTGCAATGTTGAAATTGATGTTGTTGCAATGTTGAAGTTGATGTTGTTGCAATGTTGAAGTTGATGTTGTTGCAATGTTAAAGTTGATGTTGTTGCAATGTTGTCTCAGGGTAGACGCGCTGCTGGATGAGTTGCAAGAGACCAAAACACAAATGAACCATCTCAGTGATGAGTTAGCTCTCATGTTGAGGTCATCATCATTCTTATCATTTCTATTGCTGCTATTTTTATCATCATTAGCATTATATTATCCTAATCATTCTAATCATCATCACGTGATCATCATCTAGACATCGTCACGTGATCATCAACCCAATCCTCGTTACGTCATATTCATGGAAATAGTTACATTACCATCTCGATCGTAGTGTTCACACCGTCATCATGCTCGTCGTTACGTTATCACTGCGTCATCATCATCATTATTACTATACATCATCATTACCTTATCATTACATCATCATTATTATCATTACATCATCATGATAATCATTACATCATTATTACGTCATCATCATTATTATCACTACACCATTACGTCATCATCATAATCACTATTATGACGTCATCACGTTCCAGTTGCTTCCGGGAGAGTCAAGTGCAGCTGCAGCAGTCGCTGCGTCAGTCGCAGTCAGCCGTCAGGAAGGAGGTGATGATGACGAGGAAGATTGACCTGTTTCTGAGACACGTCGAGTGGAGGATGAATGAGAAGGATGGACAGATCGGAATATCCCATATCGTTCTTTCTAACTTCTTGTTCGTTCCTTTTATTTTTTTTCTTTGTTGTTGTTGTTCTGGGGGTTAGATTGGGGGGGGGCAAGCAAGGTTACCGCCCCGCGTTTTGTACTGAAGGGAGCCTCTAACTAATAAGGGCTTTCCTTAAAAAAATTGGTTTCCACATTAGAGATAAAAGAAATATTCAAATTACGACAGCTTCGATGAAAAATTACTCGGAAGGAAGTGATAATGTTGGTCATTCGTTGACGTGTTAACTTAGTTTATAATAGAGTGTATTTAGACTTTAACAGAATGTTACATTTTTGGTTGAAATAATTTTTTGTTTGGCAATAAATTTTGGTTAGACTTGGGGAAGAAAGTGTCTTTTTTTTATTTTGAAAATAAATAATTATGGATCTCTGCTTTTCCGCTGCCTCGAGGCCTCCAAATCCGGCCACAAAATCCAAATTTGTTGCCCCAAAGATATCCAAATGCGGCTCTTTGTTGTTGTTTATGATGGATGAGATTGTTCCCTGTCGGTGTTGTTGCGTGGCAGTTGTATCGATGAGGCCGGGTTATGTTGGTGTTCATCGCACAGATGACATTATGTATGATGACGTGAGTAACGATGCCAATAAGTCGGTTTCTCAATGCCAAAGTCGTAATTATTTTTTTCTGTTTTCATAAAATTTATTCATGTCGTGGTCATTGTCTTTGTCATCATCGCTTTATTATCATCATCATCGTCACCATCATCGTTACCACCATCATCATCGTTACCACCATCATCATCGTTACCATCATCATCATCATCGTTACCATCATCATCATCGTTACCATCATCACCAGGTACACGAAAACAATGCACGAGAACGATTGCGGTAGCCATCAACTGGAATTGGGGCGATGCCACGTGACCAATCTTCTGCCGGAAGACCAGCAATATAGGGTCAGTAGGAGTTTTGACCCAATTTTTTAATGAGGCCCTCTATATATCTATCTGTCTGTCTGTCCATCTATCTTTTTTAATTTTTTCTCTTTTTCTCAATGTTTCACCTTTTTTTCTGCTCTGGTGTCAGGTGGTGTTGGAGCCCCAATCAGACAGCAGGGGAGGGGCTGCTTGTGTGGACCACAGAAGTTCGGTCGTCAGGGTTCTCTGCAAATTTAAACCACCTGGTGAGTTTTTTTTTTTTCTCAATTTTTGTTCTATTTTTTACATTTTTTAAAATTATTTCCTTATTAGTTGCCGCGTGTTAATAATATTATCTATGAATTAATTATACTGACGGCTTAATAAGTTAACTCTTGATTTATTTTCCGATTCAACTTTTTTCTATCTGTTAGTTTTTAATTAATTAATTAATTTTCAATTAATTAATTGATCAATAATTAATTTATTTTATTCTATTTTATTTTAAGTTGGCGGCATATCAATCAAGGAACATTTCGAAGTGAACGTGGCCCCTCTGAATATTCAAATAACAGCAAGGTACGATCGATTTGATGATTAGTTTAATCATTTTCACTCACACGATCAATCACCTCATTTGCGTTATCTTTTTGCACGTCACCATGCATCCAATGTCACTGCCGTGTTTATCGTTGCCACTGCCACCATGTTCATCATCGTCGTCGTCGTCTTCAACATCTGCTATCATCCCGCTGTCACGAACAATTTCGTCATCATCCTTATCATCGTTTATCACAATCAGCATCTCAATCTCATTGACGGCTTGCTATCATAAACATCTTTTAACCATCGCCTTCATCGTCAACATCATCATGTATGTCACTTTTTCATCTCGACATCATTCTCTCGTCGTCATCTTCATCATCTTCTTAACGCCATCCCCACCGCCGTCAACATGACAATTAGATTCTACTCTGTCGTCATGGCGTTCTTCTTCCCCGGTAAGCCCGTGGAAAGCGACGACGAAGGAGGTCAGTTAGTCAATAGTAACTAGGTCAGGTCACCCGACCTCGCAGTTTAGCCTTAACTTGACCTGACCTAATTAATTGACATTGCGCGTGTATTATGACGAGAAAATAAATAACGATTAAAGACCTTGAGACAATATTTATTTGAGTTAAGAAATTTTTTTTGTTTAGTTTATTTCAAGTTTTCGTTTCTGTGACACTAAGTTAATAATTTTTCGGTGTGAATATCGTCGTCATTGTCGTCGTGCATTTACATCCTTCCCAACGTTTGTAACCAGATGCAGAGGATGCAGTCACGACAACCTCAACGAGGCAGACACCAACAACGTCAACGACGGCGTTTCAATCATCATCGACGTCTCAGTTGACATTTCGTAAGGAACATCAACAACAACAACCACATCAGCAGCAGCAACAGCAGCTACATCAGCCACAAGGAAAGTTTTCCAGTTTGAGAAAGAAGACCAACATCATCACTGCTTCCGTTAATGATATAGATAAGATGAAAGTTCGTGCTGGTTTCAGTTCAATTCCTAACAAATGTGGCAAGCTTCTAAACATGCATTCATAAATACATACATCCTGTTTGTTATACTTCATTATTGTGTGGCTGGATTGGTCCAGTGCAGCTGGTGTGGTGGCTTCAGAAACGATCCCTTTCATTTTCGCTAAGTTTCTTACAAATCGTATCCTACTTAGTTGCAATTAAACTTTCACATATTTGTATGTAAACACCACACCACACAACTTACATACACAACACACATGTTTGTATGTTACACCAGACCACACAACTTACATATACACATGTTTGTATGTAACATCACACCAAACAACTTACATACAAATCTTGTATGTACGTGCAAGTACTTCATTATGTACACAAAGCACATGAGAGATGGAGTATATTTTTTTAGTTTTGAATAGACTGCAGTCGAACCAGGTCGGCGCGCTATAAAATCGTGCGACATGGCATTTCTACTGTCTGAGCTAACTCAACGACCAATACTGTTTTATAACCCAGGAGAGGGCAGCCATGAACAACATGTTCCTTAGTATAAAAATACCTGAGATTCCTATTAGAGTCAGTTACAAGGTTGTTGCTGTTGTTGTTGATGTTGCTGTTGTTGTGTTGTTGTTGGTGGTGGTGTTGTTATTGTTGATGACGATATTGTTGTGTTGTTGTTGTTGGTGTTGTTGTTGTTGTCAATCAATGGAACAACCAATCAAACAATCAGTCGACCAACCAATCACTCACTCACTCACTCAACCAACCAACCAATCACAGAGCGAGAAAGAGAAGCACATAATGAACATCAGCAACTTCCAGTTCCTCTCCCCACTCCTAGAGTACCACAACCAGACCTGGAGCTGGCATGACTTGACCATGAATATCAAGAAGGAGTGCAAGAAAGTTATTATCACTCAGGTGATCGTCATCAGGGTTGTGATGCCGTTAATAGCGATGTTGTTGTTGATGATGATGATGATGTTGGTGGTGGTGGGGATTGGGAGGTTTGGGATGACGGTGATGACGATGATGACGATGACGATGTAATGTTCGAAGATAGAATCATTAATAAAAGCGATACTACTATTACTGCTACTACTACTACTATTGCTACTAACAACAACGATAACTAGCAATATTAATAATAATAATAATAAGAAGAAGAAGAATATTAAATAAGAATAATATTGATAATTCTAACAAATATTAGGCCGTTCGCCAGAAACTGCACATAAAAACTCGCTCGATCCTGAGCGACATCATGGTCTTTCCGAGGAGTTCAACTGCCGACGAGGATGCTGATAAGACGAAGATGCTTCTTGGCTTGACCAGTCCTGTAAGTTGGTTGGTTGGTTGGTTGGTTGGTTGGTTGGTTGGTTGGTTGGTTGGTTGGTTGGTTGGTTGGTTGGTTGGTTGGTTGGTCAGTCAGTCGGTTGGTTGGTTGGTTGGTTGGTTGGTTGATTGGCCGGTTGGTTGGTCTGTCGATTGGTTGGTTGGTCGGTCGGTCGGTCGGTTAGTTGGTTGGCTGGTCGGTCGGTCGGTTGGTCAGTCGGTTGGTCAGTCGGTTGGTTGGTCGGTTGGTTGGTTGGTTGGTTGGTCGATTGGTCAGTCGGTTGGTCGGTTTTTCGGTCAGTTAACTGATCGGTTGGTTGGTTGGTTGGTTGGTCGGTTATTTTTTTATTCATTCATATAGCCATTCATTTAGTTTCTTAATTTTCTTTGACGCCAGGAATCCAAGCAGAAAAAGACCAAAAAGAAGAGCCTTTTTGCCAAATATCGAGACAGTTAATCCGAGATGTCTGCGCGTGTGTGCAGTGCGTACAAGCACACGTGCATCATTCACTTTACACACATTGGTGCATTGTACATACACACACACATACAAGTATACATACATACAAGTATACATACATACAAGTATACATACATACAAGTATACATACATACAAGTATACATACAAGTATACATACAAGTATACATACATACATACATACATACATACATACATACATACATACATACATACATACATACATACATACAAGTATACATACAGGCATGCATGCATGCATGCATACATACATACATACATACATACATACATACATACATACATACATACATACATACATACATACACAAATTCGTACATTATATGAGTTACCTGCCATTAAGCAAAGGTGGAACCTATCATCACAGCTCTCTATACTATAAATTATAGTGTTATGTTATGATATCATTATCCAGATGCCGATGATAATATAATTAATTATGTTATATTATTTTGTTTCTTTTTAATTTGTTAATTATAACATCAGTGGATGAGTTTATAATAACGTATCTTATATTTTCTATGATTCATTTTTTCGCATTTTTGTTCATTCATTCATTCATCCATTCACTTTGTTTTCATTCATTCCTTTATTTATTTGTTCATTATGTTTGTTTATTAACCAAATAAATTTATTCAATGTTTCGTTCGTTCGTTCATTCATTCTTTTGTTTTTTTATGTTCGTATGTTTTTCCATTATTAATTAATTCTTTCATTCACTCATTCATTTATTCGTTCATTGAATCATTTATTTTTCAAACAATTTATTTGTCCGTCTGTTTTTCAGTTATTCATTTTTCTGTTCATTCATTCATTCATTCGTTTTTCATTCACTTATTTACTATTCCATTCGATAAATCATTCATCTATCCATTCATCCATCCGTTCATTCACTCATTCATTCATTCATTCATTCAACTTTCAAAATCATTTCCTGTATGATTTTAAATCTACAGTTACATTATTTATAATAACAGCAAGTAATTCATGGAGCTATTATTTTTACTTTTAATTAATTAAAATTATGTTTATTGTTTCTGTTTTTGTTGTCTATACTGTCGTAGTTATAATTATTTCTATTTATTATTATTATGATTATTATTTTGATGATGATTATTATTATGATGATGATTATTATTATTATTATTGTTATTATTATTGTGACAAAAGAGTGACGATTGTGATATAACGATAATGATGAATATTAATGATTATTATTTATTATTGATATTATTATTATTATTATTATTATAGTATTAATAATTTTATAATTATTTACTTTATTGTTAGATTCATAAAAAATAAAAAATAGTATTGTTTCATATTTTCGTAACATTATAACAATTTTTCTTATTTATTAATAATTATTATTGGTATTATTATTATTATTGATATTATTATTATTATTAATTTTAATGTGGATAATATAATTGAATAAAAATTAACTCAGCAAAACAAATGTTAATTCTATTTTTCTTCATATTTTTTTATACAATCTTTCATTTTATGTTATTTTTGGGTTTTTTTTGCCTAATTTTTTCAAAATTATTTATGAAAATTACGAAAAATTTACTATTTTTGTAAGGAAATTAATAAATATTACACATTACTCAAGAATAATTACTAATATTTATTATCAATTGTGATCTTTTAATCAACGCTATAAATCATTTTTTAATATTGCTTTTTCATTTAACATTATAAAAATGTTTCTACAAAAATCTATTTGCAAATACAGTGTGTGTGTGTGTGTGTGTGTGTGTGCGTGTGTGTGTGTAACTGAATGTAATAAAAATCTTGTCACGTCAACTGTATCAACTAATTTAGCTTAGGGTCGACTTCTACATCTTGATTGTTGGATGTATGTGTAGTATATATGTATATGTATGTATGTATATCACACACAATTGGTATATGTGTGATATAATAACGGTAAATAATATTGTTGATGAGACAAATTCGTCATCACAGATTGGCGAAGAAGGCGACTATGAAGAAGAGGAAGATGAAGATGCTAGAGGAAATTTTGTATCTTTGTTGCCACGTGTTCATTTTTACTCAGCAGCCAACTTCACTTTTTTTTTACTGACCGACCAGGCGACAGATTGGTTTTTTGTATTTTTGCGGTAACTTTTTTCGGGTTTGCGTTTAAGATTTTTGTTAAAAGTTCGATTAGGCGTTAATTTTTTCTCTTGTTTCTGTTCCGCCGAATTTGTTTTCTGCCTAAACGTTCAAGATTTCTCTATATCCGGCGTTTAAGATCAGGATGAATATTTTCCGTC